AAATGTGTAACGCATTTATAGACTGGCTGTATATATGAAAGTGACGGCGCCTACCGTATAGACATGCTCCCTGTGCCACAAACACTATCAGACACTTCTTATTGGCCGGTCGGTACTCCGAGTGATCATCACTACTATAATTAATAAAAAGTTTGTTATCTTCACAATAAAAGTTTATATCACTTCTAACTGTTGAGACAAATGCACATTCAGTTTGATTTGATTCACACGATTCAGTGATTCTCGAGTATATTCGCTACACTTAACCTGTTTTTGGCACCAATTCATCAATCGTTGAATATTTGATTTAAAAAATCTTTTTTATCGCAAAATATTTTATGAAAAATATGGCTAATCAAAGGAGTATTCAAATATATTTATTTGTTTTTGTGGCCGTTTTAAGTCTCATGGCATCGATAGTACCCGAAGTGTCGAGTAAACCAAATATGGATGAAGTGGCGAATATGGCAGAAGCCATACGCTATTTAGAGCAACTGGACAAATACTACTCGCAAGTGGCCCGACCCAGGTATTTGGTTTTTGTCACACTTTTCATTCAAAGTTTTTTGCTACCTTTCCAATGAGATCCGCGTGAATTTATGATTAGCAATAAAATTGTTGAGTAATAAAACATTTTGTCGGAACTGATGCAATGGATTGATGCCATGATTAATGATTGCTTTCATGCATTGAAAAGAATAATATTTTTACAGATAATTTAATTTATTCGTTGTTTAAATAGTGAGTAACTTCTCAATAATCGGAAAGAGTATAAAAGAAATAAGTTTTTCCCAATTTTTGTTTTATCACAATGCTATACAAATATAATAAATGCTTAAAAGTTTACCATTGAAGTCTAATTTAATTAGTGTTTTGGTCATAAAATTAAAAAACATGTTTTCTAACAAACAATAACATTTAGTTTGCTCTTTTTAAGATCGTGTGTTGAAAAAACTTTTATCTCATTTATCGGAGACAAGTGTTATTTAAAGAATTACTGTTTGTTTATTTATTTACCTTTGATTAATTTACTCTACAATTAGTTTATCATTCAAATAAAAGTAAAAATATCAGTCTTTTGAACTTTTATATTTAAACTTTCATTACTTTTGTAGATAAAACTAAATTTAGTTGTTGTACATATTTATAATAAAATTTACTCTACAATTAGTTTATCATTCAAATAAAAGTAAAAATATCAGTCTTTTGAACTTTTATATTTAAACTTTCATTACTTTTGTAGATAAAACTAAATTTAGTTGTTGTACATATTTATAATAACAACAAAAATAAAGTGAGGCATAATAGAAAATTGAATTATAAAGAAACTATTAAGTAATTTTAGGTAAACATTGTTCAAAAAAGTTAATAAACTTGTTATTAAAGTTCGTAGAGATTGATTAAAACACCCCTTTAGTAAACAATATTGTTTATTTCAGCATTAATTGTTTTATTAGATATAATATAATTTATTATAAGTTATTTTAAAATCACTAAATAAATTATTTATTAAATCTATTAAAATGTTATGAACATGAAAACATGTGGCTAGTAATGGTTTCCAATAGTAAGTAAATCCAATATTTAAGTAGGTCTTAGGAAAAGGCATTTCCTTTCCAATAAATGTTTACTAAAAGCATAATAAATAATAGGAATAACCAAGAATATTCAAGAATAGGAATATTCAAGAATGTATTTGGCTGTTAACATTTTAAATAAGATATTATTATTCTACTAACCATAACAATTATTATTATTTTGATTAGAGGATAGTATAGGAAACTATGAATACTATATAAATTAATGCCTTGTTTTAATGGTGTTTTTCAGGTATACCATCTTAAGTAAACATTTATGTTGCAACATAAGTGATAGTATTGAAATAAAACTCTGGTTTTTAATTATAAGACATAATGAACTGTAATAAAACAAGCAGTTGTGGTATTATTATAGTAGGAAGTCCCGCATAAGTGTTAAAACATAATATAAGTTAGAAAGTGAAATAATTTATTCATAATTCTATGCTTCCAATAGATATTAGTTAACAAATAATAACTAAAAGTGTAATCTATTATTAATTTGCAAGTAATTTACTTTACTATATGACAAATGATTAATATTTTCCATTAATCAAATTTAAGTTATATAAAACTTTCCACGTATACTAATTTTATATTCTGACACAAACTAATACAGTAGGAACTTAGTAATACTACTATTGTGATACCTTCACTGTTTTATTTTTATTAAAAAGGTTTCTTAGAATAGTATTTTTAATAAATTTCCTAAAATAATAAACTAATTTTCGCACATATTATCTTTTATTTGTTTATTTTATTGCATAATCATTAATCTTAAGTGTTTCAATATTTATTGATTATCAGTGAAAAGGAGTTAAAAATAAAATTAATATAACAGCCGAACGTTTTCGGTCTCCAATGAGACCATCATCAGGGCTTAAGATGTTAAAAGAGATAATTAATATGATTGTCGTTAAACTTATGTTTCGTTAATCTTAGTTAAGATTATTACTATAAAGTATTATCTTTTAATTAGTAACATAAATGGGATTCATAATTTAACCAATAATTATGATAATTATTAAAAATTCTTATTCATTTTAACTTCAGTTGTAAATTTCTGTCAGAAAATAATTTTTAATATCGCACAGTATTTGTTAGTATAATCTAATAAGAAATAATTAACTAATTAAAATTTCAAGAACTGACAAACAATAATATACTGCAATTTTATGAGTAGCAAATAATTGAAACAAAATTAATGTTTAACAGCAAATGACTATTTTCTCACAAAACGAGAATACAATTCATACAATATGTGTTAATGATAATTTATTCGTAACTTAATTAAAATAAGTGCTAACATTCCTCACAATAATTAAAATTTATTATTTATATAAGCAATATTCTTATATTAAACAAATATAATAAACTAATTGCAAACAATTCAAATACAGTAACTTCAATGACTTATGTTATCAATACGTTTTTGAGAACAAAGATTAAAGTATGATATTTTAAGAAACATAATAAAGTGTTTCATAATATTTCATAACTTGAGGAATTTCAAGGTATTACAACTATATATCTATTAGTTGTACTTTCATAAAAATATTATAGTCATTTGTAAATACTTATATTAATTTATAATGTTTTGGTGCACTTTGATAATTTCAATTTCATTTCATAATATAATTGAATAATGAATCTCATTGGGAAATACAGGATACTAATATGTTATATAAAATACTGAACACCTTAAGTACCTAATAAATATATTTGATTTTTCTAAAAGTATTCATTAAATGAATTTTCAGATTTGGGAAAAGAAGTCTAAGGAATCTGTTGAAGATGTCATCGAATAACGTGAGTTATTATCACATTTTCTTATATATCAAAATGGTTTAAAAATAGAGTTTATTGTTTGGTATGTTATTATATCCTAATCTTCAATCGTGTGAACACCAAATATTTCTATAAATAAGTATCAAATTTCCGGTCAAATCTTAATCCAGAAAGCATTCAATGCGTCCGATTTTGGTGTCAAATAAATAATTTACAGATTCTTTCAGAAATTGAAAAATAAGTTTATTTTAACTCGTGTTGAATACAAATAATTGACGCAAATATCACAATAAAGAAAACAATAAACTCTGTTTACTACATTTACTAATGAATTTCTATAATTAAAATACTTTGATATTTATATCTAATTAATAACTATTTTGATGTTTTTTAGGAAAACAGAGACCAGTCGTCACAACTTGAGTAAAACATTTACAATAAAAACATTTTTCACCAAAAATACAAACATATTTGTATTTAAAGGGATTTTCAAGTGAAGTAAAACTCGACGACTCATTTAAATGAACATGATACATTTGTCTCTCAATTATTGATTCATTGAATCGTTAACCGAATCTTTTAATTCATTAATGATATTTGAATTATGATTTGATTTTATTTCTCGACTTTTTATTATTTATTTATTTATAATTTATTGATTTATACTCTGAATAAATGTTTTAAACAATGTTTAGAATCTAATCGTATGTAATATTTGAACATAAAATGAATTTATCATTAAAACACTTTGACATCACTTTATGGTCTATGAAATAAATGGAGTTTTATTTCTAATTTTATAACACAATTGAATGCAAGCACTGGTGGGCAGAGGTATTCCGATGGATACACTTTTATGAGTATATAAAACAAGTTTTCATGTAAACATTGAATCGACATAATTATTATCACATCTACTGGAGTCATATTACAAGATGTGTCCCAATATTATTTCATTTCAACATATTTCCAAAAAATTTTCTTATATTAATACTACCGTATATTGTATCAATACAGTATACAGTAAGTGTATTTTTCGTACAGTTTATTTTGAATTTAATTTTATTTTACTTGTTCATTTATAAAAAATATTCACATTTTAAGGAAATTGATATATCGTTTGCATGTTATAAGTTGATTGGCTTTGAATAGAGTATTTGACAGGTAAAGTAAGATTGTATTTGAATTTAAAGAAATTTATTACTATACCTCAAGACTTTTCTGAAATATACTATGCTAAAAATATTTATTTAAAAAAGCTTTGAATGCGAAATATAATGAAATTATTCTGAGAAAAGATTTTTTGGTGAAATACAGTAAAATGCTCGGGGCTTAAATATAACAATTTTCTATATCTGTTTCAAATAAAAGTCTATAGAAAATGTCAAATTTTGGAGATATATCTCAAAAGAATTGTTAATTATATTAAATATTAATATTTTATTAACGGATGAATTGTTTCCTATTTGATAATGAATTTAAAACTTTGGAAATTAGCGGTAAACAGATTTTAATCAAACTTTTAAACCTATAATGACGTTTGCATTTTAAATTAACATTAACTATTCAAATGAGTTTTAAATAAACCAAATATCCAAATGTCAAATCATTTGAAAGTGAATTAATTAAAGGTGACAGTCAGAAAAAATAATTGCTTATCAATTAGAATATTACTATTACGGTACTATTATGCAACAAATAGAGTGGATAATAAATATTATTATTGTGTTATATTTGATCAATATTTGATAAGTTAGTATATATTATTAATACTTATTCTACTTATACCCCATACTTATTGTTTTATATTAGATATAAGTGACAAAACTTATAATAAAGTAAAAAGTTAAGACTTTAATCGCATTAAAAGTTGAGATTCAATACATACGTGTTTTACGTAAGAGTCATACTAGTATAATTGTTGCTGAATATAATATGACCAGGCTATCATCAATTCTTATCTAATATTAATATAAAATTATATTTTAGTGCACATATACCTTTACATTATATTATAGAACAACATAAACTCAGATCCTGGTGATTCATGCAGATAAATAGGTATATTTAAAAAAATTCATTTTAAACAATAAAAATAAAGATAGTATTTAACCATTACATTGATCCTGGCTACTTTTACATAACAATCATCATAAAATCGATTCATCACAATCAGGACTGTACTATTAATGGATAATACATGTGATTCCTAATGGAGTCCACATTTATAAGAATATTTGAGGTAAATAACAACATAATGATTGTCTTACTATAAATAAATATAGCTATTCTATAATTTATATAGCTATTCAATTGCATAATTATTTTTTAAATATTCTCTAATATATGAATTCAATAATTATATATAGGTAATCTTTAATTGAAATATTTTCAACTAATATATAATACAATACTTGTTTATAAACAAATTAAGTCAATGTATGATACTGCACTTGGATTTTAATAATAAATATTAGAAAATTGAATAATTAACAAATTTAAATATCATTTAAATATTATTTATGTTTTAATGTTTAAATTAAACTAAAGTTGAGACTTTTAATTAGATTTTGAAATGACTTTTTGTTTGTATTATAAACTTTTATATAAACTTTATAATAATTCTTATCGAAATTAATGTGCAGGTAGCTATACAAAACTGACATACAGTTTATCATTTAATTATTAGTCACAAATACTAGGATCTTAACCGGTAATAACAAAATTTAATTTTAATCATAAACTATGTGATTATAAAACAAGTTCATTGATAAATTAATGAATATAATTTTAATGTATTTTATAGGATGCCACTACGATATCTTATACCGATCTGTATAGGCACACGAAAATTATATAGAAAAATAACTTGGTGTATTTGAGTACACGACCCAATAACTGTGATTGTGAATGATTTTGAATTTTTAAATCCTACTTACAAATCACAATTTTTATATTAATCCTTCCTTCTCTGAAATTACAAAATATATAATATATATCTATTAAATAATATATATATAATATCGTCTAATAACTATAAATATCTACTGTATTCATTTGAATCTAATTTCACAGACGATCACCTAAACTAACACTCAAAGTAAAGTCAACTGAAGGCAGCACCGATTGAATACAAGTTTTCAACATTGGTTTCAAATCATAATGTAATCTGTATTACGAACCCATAGACAGCGCCAGAACTCTTGAATCTTTTAAATTCTTGTTATATTATAACTAATTCTATAATTCTTGAGTTAAATAATTTTATAATAATTTTAAAATTATTCGTATGTATTTTATAAACTAAATTTAAATGTATATAAATGTACTGTACCAGTATATTGGTATATAAGGTATGTCTAGTAAAAATATAACCTCAACATTAATGCAATTAGTATTACCGTAATACAATAAATTGATATAATTGTTATACGGTAATCTAATGTTTAAAAGTATTTGTTTGAGATTTACTTATGTTTATTAAATAAATATTTAAACCAAGATATTATTGAATCTAATAATAACTTATTCTGTATAATTTTATATGTGTATATTATTAGAATATATGGTTGATTAAATATTTTCTTTGAGATTAATGAAAAATAAATTAAAACTTTTATCGGAATAAGTATTAATGATCCCATACAGGAATTGAACAAAAATTTGTTGACTAAAATAATTAATTATTTTATTGCGAAGTATAGACTTTTGTTTCTTTATATATATTTTTCTAATATAAAAGTTTGATTTAACAAAAGACTTTATTCTATAATAATATGTAATCAAAATGATTTTAATGGATAAGTAAAACTACAATATGATATAATTATAATTACACAATGGAAGTTATAAACTTTGAAATCAAGTTTAATTATTGTATGATAATTAATTTAAGTTATATTAATTGTAATGATTTATGTAACTCAAATTAAAGCATTTCCATTATATACTCAAATACTGTCATATTAGTTAATTACAACACAATTGTGAGTTGTGTTTAATACTTCATTTACTCAATATATACAACTTACTAAATTACAATTAAATTACATATAACAATTATATAATTTACTTAGGAGTAACAATTAAGGTTAATTCCTAAATGCATATCAATTGAATAACTATTTAATGGTACTCTTGAGGACAATAATAGACATTTATTGATGTCTAAATAAAACACAATTTCACACCTATTTATAAACTATAATACAACTTATCCCACCATATGTTAGTTTAAATTGATGAATACTTATTGAATCATATAACGATCAAAGTGTATTTTTAAAAATATTAGAATAATGTTTATTTTATTTAATTAGAAAGAATATGGTACACGTCAATTTTTAAAGCTTTTATTGATAAGTAAAATAATGAATACACGAGTTATAAAATGCACAAAAAATCAAATAAACTCGAAATAATATGATTATTATTTTTATAAATCAAAATAACTTAAATATAAATATTTAAAAAATGGAACTAGTTATAATGTTATTTTTTAAAATATTAATTTTGTAAAATATTTGTCATTTATTGAACCAAATGGTCGATTATTCTCTGATTTTGATCTCTCGTATGAAAGTTGTTTTAAGCAAACATTTGTATAATAATAACAATAATAAATGAATGATTAACACTATATTAAATTTTAATATTAATTCCGATGACAAGATAGTGAAATTTGTATTGATATAATTCATTAAAATATGTTTTCAAATAGTGAACCATAGGACATATAAAGTATATAATAAATGACAAAACAATTCATACAAGTTATATATCCAACTAATATTCCGGCGGAATTTTATTTACAATAAACATTGTATTTATCATATTTTGTTTCACTTTTGATTGCTTCCATTAAATAATTAAAGCAACACAATCTTTATTGTTTTAAATCATATATTAACAAGATAACGTGATTTCAGTAACTTTCATAATTAACAATAGATAGCAATAAATTATATATAATTTGTTGGTTTAAATAAAAAGTTTAGTTGAATTTCTCAGAGTTATTATCCGATGCGATCGGACCCGAGGAGTTCCACAGGGGGTCAGCACGCCGTCCAAAACGCAGTCTAAATATACAACATATTACATGTTTATTAAATTAGACATATGAGCAATGTATTAAATATTTGTAGAATGAATAAAATAAAATATTAATAAAATGTTTGTGCCAAACAAACACTTATAATTAGTCATAAAAGCATACCTGAGTTGAGGAGCCCGACCCCCTTTCCTTTCCATTTGGTGTACAAATTGATTGGGTGTTTGAAGTCCTTCATTACGTAAAAGTATTTCATAGAGATCTCGCAAATCTATAAATAATATTGGGTAGCTTTTAGAGAATTGTTTTATTACATTTCCTTTATTAACAAATTTAATATTATTTTAAAATAAAAATTTTGTTATCCTTAATATGATTTCAAACTTTTATTAATGCTATTATATGGGTTACCGTTTGTGTGGTATTAAAATATGTTTTCTGATATTTCTTATCCTTTGAAACTAAACTACAATACTCTCAGTGTTAGTCTATCTCTCAAATTTAATAACTTTTTTATTTCCCAAAATCGATACTTATTTGATATTTCCGTTTTTGTTTCAGTGTTTACAGAATTTTCAAATTAT